GGTTCACTGACCATAAGTTCGGTGATATCTTGTAGAAATTGATCTGCTACGTCTAAGATGGATCTGCTGAAAGAAGGAGGATCCGTATCGCGTCCACCTCTGCTTGATGGCTCAAATTATTCTTATTGGAAGGCTCGAATGAAGGCTTTCATTAAGGCTCAAGATGAAAAAGCTTGGCGTGCTGTCCTGACTGGCTGGAAGCATCCAGTAACTAAGGATACAGAAGGAAAAGAAAATCTCAAGCCTGAAGAGTCATGGAGTACTGATGAAGATAGGTTGGCCAACTACAACTCACGCGCGCTCAATGCAATATTCAATGGAGTTGATGTTAATCACTTCAAGATGATATCCACATGTGAATCGACTAAAGACGCATGGGAGATTCTGGAGGTAGCTCATGAAGGAACAGCCACCGTTAGACAATCAAAATTGAATATGCTCACTACTAGGTTTGAAACTCTTCGGATGCTTGAAATTGAAACCATCTCTGAATTTAATTCTCGATTATGTGATATAGCTAATGAATCTTTTGCTCTTGGTGAAAAAATCTCCGAGGCAAAACTTGTCAGCAAGACCCTGAGATCACTACCGTAGAGATTTGCTTATAAAGTCACTACTATTGAGGAGGCAAAAAACATTCAAACTATGAGACTTGATGAGTTGATGGGATCATTGAGAACATTTGAAATGAATCTGGATTAGAACCAGCAGGAGAAAGAAATTGCCTTCCAAGCATAACTGCATAAACCAACAGTGGAAGAAGATACAGGAGATTCACAAGTGTTGGTAGAATAGTTTGCTCTTTTGACAACGAATTTCAATCGCATTCTGAAACGAGTTAAAGGAAAGGGTTTCACTCCAAATTCTGGCAAATTCAACAACTTCCAAAAGAATACAGATGTTGCAAGCAACTCAGAAGCCAAGACACGAAACCGAGGCATCCAGTGCCGAGAGTGTGACAGATATGGACACATCCAATCGGAATGTGCAAATACCCTTAAGAAGAAGAAGAAAACATTCAACATGACATGAAGCGATGAAGAATCTGATGGCAGCCAGGGAAATGAAGATCATGTGAATAATCATGTTGCTTTCAATGTATATCAGAATGTTCCCAACAATAGTGTTGCAAATCATGTCATAAACGATGTTGGAACATCATCTGTAATATAGTCAGTAAAACCAGAAGAAAACGGAAATCTCTTTGATTCAGACAGTTTCAGCAATGATGGAGAACTAACACATGAGACTATACAGGAGGCTTATGAATCAATGTTCAACAAATGGATTCAGGTGGTCAAGTTGAACAAGTCACTTGAGAAGAAATTGGCAGATGTTGTACAAGAAAAGGAGGATCCAAAGATGAGGCACGAGTCCAAGATTGCTGAAATGAGAAAAAGACTGCAGGAAGCTAATGCAGAGTTAGAACGTACTCAGAAGACCTTGAAGATGATGAATACCGGTACTGCGAAATTAGATCACATATTTTCTATGAGAAAATCCAGTCATGACCACTTTGGACTAGGCTACAGTGGAGAATGTCAGTCATCTAAGTCAGTCTTTGTTAAAGAAAATACTCAGGCTGAGACAAAAATTCCTCACTCCAAGACCATTATTCATGTTCCCTCATGACAAAAAACATTCATTCCCATTTGCTACTATTGCAGTTTTCCAGGACACATCCAGCCACGGTGTTACAAGTATCTGAATGCCTTAAAACGAGGTATGCATCTGACTTCACCAAATGTTGCAAGACAGACACCAAAGAGGAAGATTAATGGAGATAACAGAAGTACACGTAAGGTGTGGGTGAGAAAATCTGACTTAAGTTGTCATGCGGCTTACACGTCTCTGAAAGCAAGTACTACCAACTCTTGGTATTTTGAGAGTGGATGCTCTAGGCATATGACTGGGGAAAGAAGTTTTCTAAAGAATTTTAAAAGTTTGACCGATGGACACGTGACTTTTGGTGATGGTGTTAAGGGTAAAGTGCTTGGAAGAGGAATTCTAGATGTTGATGGATTACCAAAGCTGAAGAATGTGTTACTTGTGGAAGGATTGAAGGCTAATCTCATAAGCATTAGCCAGTTGTGTGATCAAGAACTCTTTGTGAGTTTCTCCAAAAACAAGTGTCGTGTGTTGGATGAGGAAGAAAACTGTGTGATGGAAGGATCAAGATCATCGGATAATTATTAGATGTTGATCCATCCACTCTCGTGTTTCAAAACCACTAAAGAAGAAATCGAGATATGGCATCAAAAGCTCGGACATCTTAATTACAGAAACTTGAAGAAGATAGTTGATGCAGGAGCAGTGAGAGGAGTGCCTAAACTCGGACCAATTCCACTAGGAGTATGTGGACCATGTCAAGTTGGGAAGCAGTTAAAGGTGACACACAAGGTGTTACAATTCATAACCACAACACAGATACTCGAACTTCTTCACATAGATCTTATGGGTCCCATGCAGGGTGAAAGCATTGGTGGAAGAAAATACATATTTGTGTGTGTAGATGACTTTTCCAGATTTACTTGGGTTGACTTTATTAGGGAGAAAGCAGATACCTTTAAGGTGTTTCAGAATCTGTGTACAAAGATTCAAAGGGAGAAAAACTGTAGTATTGGGAAGATAGTGAGAATTAGAAGTGATCATGGCAGGGAGTTCGAAAACATAATATGTGTTGAATATTGCAATAAGCACGACATCGCATATGAATTCTCAGCACCAAAGACCCCCCAACAAAATGGAGTTGTTGAAAGAAAGAACAGAACACTTCAAGAGATGGCTCGTGTTATGCTAAACTGTAAACGATTGTCATACAGATTATGGGTAGAAGCAGTTCATACTGCATGTTACACAATAAATCAGGTTTATTTCAGACCTGGAACAAGAAACACTCCATATGAGATCTGGAAGGGAAGGAAGCCAAACCTTAGCTACTTTCATGTTTTTGGAAGTGTGTGTTACATTCTAAAGATCGGGAACCAAGAGAAAAGCTCGATGCAAAAAGTGATGAAGGAGTTTTCCTTAGATACTCTCTTACTAGTCGTGCATATATAGTCTACAACAAAAGGACTCAAACGATCATGGAATCCATAAATGTGGTGATTGATGACTTTAATGATGAATCAAAGAGAATCACAAATGATGAGATATACAGGTCCTCTGAAGAAGACGACAAGATGTTTGAGGAATGGCATATAGAGAATAATGTTACTAATGAAGTTACACAAAACAGTTTTTGGTTGTACATATTCAAAAACTAGGTTCTAGAAGACATTATCGAGATGGCTGTTTTTGGAGAAGAAGAAAGTGCTGTCGTTTGAATTTGAGATCGGATTTTGTGCAGAAAAAATCATATTTGTTGACTTGAAGATCAGCTTGTGATAAAACGGATAAGGCTAAGCTAATACGGATCATGAGGTCATCCTTTATCAATTGTTGGTATATCTTCTGAGGTGATTTGATTCATTGAATTTTAAAAAGTGAATCCGTGAGTTTTTGGAATTAAAACTCAAAAAGTGAGATGCTGTAGATAATGCTGAGGATGATTTTTTGGTAACGAACACAGGTTCAAAAGTTGAAGATACATGGAATGGTTTTATATGAGAAGATGCTCTGCAGGAAGGAATAAGGTTGTTGACTACAAAAAAGTCTAGCAACGGAGAGACAGTGATTAAAGAGAACAATCTGTAGTTTTGTGTTTCATGTTGAAAGCTTGATTAACTGAAGGGAGTTCAGTAGTGAAAGGTGAAGACGTGTGGTATACGCTAAACAGTGTCATTGTGGGAGTTCATCACAGCGGCGTCATAGTCTATGAGGGAGTCCTTGAATGATTAAGTCCGTCAGGGTTGTAATTCTTAAATCATAGTGAAACTGTTTACTGTCTGGGCGTGGCCCCGCAGAGTAGGTATGCGTACCGAATTGCGATACCATATTGTGTGTTCATTTATTTTCTACACTAGTGTTTTTCTTGTGCTGCTTAATTTAATCGGTAGAGTAAACTGAGTAACTAGTGTCCCAGATAGTGTTCCAACGTCATCTAGGACGTAAGATGTAGCGTTAGATCTAACAATGTTCAATAATTTCACGGTCATATAACTTTTTTAAAATAACTTTTTTACCATCTTGATGAACTCGTTTTCAGATAAAGGACCAAATCCACAATTTTCTTCTCTTTTTTTTTTTTTGTTTTTGATCAATGAGAGTAAATTGTGTAAAGAAATTGCAAAGTTCAAAAGAACAACATAATTAGAATGATAGTAACATTAACAAGTGTTACACATTTGCAGCAATATATAAATATTGTAATTATTAGTAATATAAATTTATAGCTCATAAACCTTACAAAACCTATTACCCAACATAATTAGAATGATAGTAACATTAACAAGTGTTACACATTTGCAGCAATATATAAATATCGTAAACTCTACAACAAACTTATTAGTAATATAAATTTATAGCTCATAAACTTTACAAAACCTATTACCTAATATACTTATGGCTCACTGAGTATGTAATGGATAGTGGGCTATCAAGAGATTGGGGGTGTACATAACTACGTGATCTTTTGTTGAAGATGCGTTAAGAAATCGATGCCCTAATTTTGTATAAAAACATTGCAGAAAGAAATAAAAAAAAATGTAAAAATTTATAAGGAATTGCGTTAATATGAGATTTCATAATCTTTCGATCGCTGCAGTAATTCATTATGACCGAAAAAAAGTTGTGACTAAAAAAAAGTTTGTAAGAAAATCACACTTCTTTTAACTCTATTTATCTGTTAATATCATTGTATAAGACTAATAATTATGGTAATAATTATGCTTCACAACTTAACAAGATGTTTATAGGGATCGGCAAACAGTAAAATATTCAAAAGTGATTTCAATCTCCATAATTTTGTTAAAATGTCATCTGTAGAGAGACTTCCTCAAGTAGTGGACTCAACTCTATTGATCAGAAGAACTGATCAACTGGAAGAAAAACCAAAGGCCAGTATAGTTGGTAAAAGGGCTTTATGGGCCAAAATAGAAACTTAGAACCTTTTGGATTGTTAGAGTTATCCAATTTGTCATAAATGGGTCTCTTGGGCGAAACTTATTCTCAAAAGTCTTAGTTCGTTAATTTGAGTTGAGATGTGATTTTTTGTGAGAGCTTTTTACTGTAATAAAAAAGTTAGATGTGACTGTTTCTTAGAGCTTTATACTGTAGTAAAACTTGAATTCTAAAGTCAAATAAGCGAAATGAACGAGACCTAAGTCTTAAGATAAGTGAACTTAGAAGCCCAACCTAAACCCTTATTATGATTATTATTGTCATGTAAATTAGTAAGCAATCAAGATTCAAATTAAGGAGACAATACATTAATTAACTAATTGATTATTTTATGATAATCTTTTCTAAACTTTATTTAAGAGAGATTAACCAATTGAATTGATTAAACTTAAGAGTGTCGATATGTTTAAAGTCTCAAGATGAATTAATGATGTCGGTTACCATAGGATGATAATTAAATACCCTAACTAACACAGTTAAGTTGTTATATAATTGATTTAAAAGTTTTATTTAGATAAGTTTAGTCAATTTTTAGATTTTTTTATAAGAAAGTTAGATCGAAGTTTAATGTAAATAAATACTCTCTGAAACTAAATCAATTAATTTAGGTTGTCAAACAAATATTCTAAACATTTTTTGTTACCCTAACAGCCGGGTTTCCACTTAAGCAAGACACATGATCAACTTTGTGAAAGGAGAGCGTTAAACTTTAGACAAACACTTTAGTGGAATACTCAGGTAAGTACAAACCTCACATATAGCATGAAACTTTTAGCGGAATATTTAAGTACAAATCTCACTTGCAGCGTGAAACATTGTCCTGTAAATGCGTAGATATGTATGAAAAGAAAAGGTTTTTTTTTTTTTTTTTTTTTTTTTTTTTTTTGGGGGGAATTTTTAAATTTTTTAATCATTTTTACATGATTTATTGCCTTTTGGGTAGGAATGATTAATGCTTTAATCATTTTTACATGATTTATTGCCTTTATTTTTATGAAATGAAATTTTATGTTTATCATACATGATCATAATAGTATGCTCACCTTAATTAGATCTATAGTAAATGAAATTAAGTGAAATGTCTGCTTAATTCTTGGACTCTAATCTCTTCTTGATTAAGCCCGGTAGACAACTAATTTCTCAGGTGAGCTTAAGTTTCACACTTGCGATGATTTTGAGTCAAGCAATGGATTTTAAATATTAACTTATCTTATTAATGTATGTTAAGACTTATAATGTATTGTTCCTTTCTTTAACGTCAAGATCCAATGATAATCCACCTTAAGTATATTGTTTACTGTGGAATTCTGGAATTAGGCATTCTCTCTTATTATTTCACCAGTGAATACAACCCCTTTTTATAGAGAAGCTTGGTAACAAGTCTGCCAATGAATCTCCACACACACACACACACACACTGTAACACCCATTTTTCTAAACCGATAAAATTCTTAGAAGTAGATGTTAGGAGTTAACTTAAATAATGTTATGGTGTTATATATAGTTAATTATAACATTACATTGAGTTATATTTTACAGGTGAACGCAACGAGGATTCGAGGTGCTAAGAACAAGTTCATGCCATGTTATAGAAATTATATATATATGTTCATTTTTTTAATGATTTGATAAATGAATATATGTTCATGATATGATGTACTTCATGTTATAATGCATGGAATTAAGTGTCTAAGGAAAATTTTAAATTTTTCCTTGATTTTTCTTTTTAGACAAAAGAATCATTTCCATGAGTTAATTTCCAGCTCTATTTTGGACCTTTAATGTTCTGAAATTATTCCATAGTCTATACAAAGTTGTAGAGCTTTTCATAAGCTTTCTAATGCCTTCTCATTTGCACAAATCGGACATCGGAGTAAGAAGTGGGGCCAGTATACCACCTGGATATCCAGCAGTCTCCTACTAGGTTACTGCATGCGAACAAGAACGGAAATTCTAGAAGTTGACCTAACTCTTTTATTTGCCTTCCACACGATTTTACACCCTAATGACAGCCATTCCCCCAGCTATTAAGGGGTGATTTAATCACAAAATTAATCCCAATTAATATCAAATTAACCCCTTTTAATTTTATATGATTTATGAGCCAATAAACATTTTCATGCTCTTACTCTCTC